TCCTGAACTTCCCTTAGCTTTGACCAAATCAAACCTATAGTCTATTATTGTCATGTGTAATATAGGTGCCAGTAATCGACTACAACAGCAGCGACAACAACAACCTACCTGTTTCACAGTAATTTCCGGTAAATCCCGTTAGGCAGTTACACGAGTAGCTGTTGATGCCGTCTTCACACGATCCACCATTACTGCATGTGTGATTAACACAATCGTCAATGTCTGCAAAACAAAAACAAAAAAATAACAATGAAGGTAAGATAAGAGCGACAAAAACAAATGGCAGTTTTCCTTAGCAAGACCTGTGAGCAATTCGAGACCATCTCTTCCCATCTGCGACTCATTCTGGACTATTTGTTTGTGACGTGAGTTCTAAAACTGCCCTCAAACAACACAACGTAAGAACAAAACGACGCTCTTGTTTCACAGTTACCTCTAATTAATCCAACACGGCAGATACAGACATACTTTACAGGAATTAATCAGTTAATAAGCCGTTTGATGTTATTTTGACAGCGTTAACTCTCATGTGAACTTCTCCTCAGCATAATCAAACCTACTACCCATGAATAAGTTTGTTAAGTTACTGCCTCAAGTTTAAAACAGAAACACACACATTCTACCTAATTCACAGTAGCCCCCAGTAAATCCCAGTAAGCAGTTACAAGAGTAACTGTTGACACCATCTTTACACGATCCACCATTACCGCATGTGTGATTTACACAGTCGTCAATATCTGCGAACAGAAGAGTTGTCAAACCGATGGTTATTAATTTCAGAGGAATAAGTTGAAGCTTGATCTTTTACCTTTTTCCTGAACTTCCCTTAGCTTTGACCAAATCTTACCTTAAGCCTATTATTGTCATACGTAATATAGGTGCCATTAATCGACAACAACAGCAGCGACAACAACAACCTACCTGTTTCACAGTAATTTCCGGTAAATCCCGTTAGGCAGTTACACGAGTAATTGTTGACACCATCTACACACGGTCCACCATTGCTACATGTCTGATCAACACAGTCGTCGATGTCTAAAAACGGAATGCAAAGAATCAAAATAAAATTCAAGTAAGAGCACCTTTTTTTGAAGACAGTAATAACAAAACCAACCCCATCAACATCAGTAATTACTAAACTTACCTCTCTAACCGGGTAAGAGAGTTAGAGAAGCTATATATTCAAAATCTTAACTGCATGGTGGACACAAATCACTTAACCACGATACTTACGAGATTGACCCTGCAAACCTCTCAAAAAAGATTAAGTGGGCACCAATATCACTCACCCGTGGGAGGTCTGGAGTAATATCAGAGCTGGTCGAATGATTATCTTGATCAGTTACGTGTAGATTTGTCTTTATGACCGTGTCAGAATTAATATGAGTTTAGGAGAAATTGAACGTTCCGTGTCTCTTATTTTTTACTGCATATTTTCTTGCCACCTATCGATACACTCTCACTGAGTCAGTGGGGTGAGCCCTGCGAAGAATTGGCATTATAATTAGCAAGCTGAAAGACAAACGACAAACCACGGACGTCAACCGGAAGTTTATGTAATTGCTTTTAGCTTGTTTTAATTCCTCGCAAAATGAGATGACAAGCTCTCATCTTAGCATTAACAGCTTGACGATTTGAAAGAACAGGGTCTAAAAGAGAAAATTCGACTTTCGGTTCGCGTCCGTCTTTAAAGAATGTCTATGCTTAAGCTCCATATAATTAAACTTTGATGAACGCGAGCTTACCCCTTTCGCAATGATCACCCGTATACCCTGGTGGACAGCTACATGAGTAGTTGCTGATACCATCCACACACGATCCGCCATTGCTGCATGCTTGATTAACACAGTAGTCAATGTCTGACAAGAAAAGTGATCCAAATTATCGACAATAACAATGCGATAACTATGATAATCGCACAATATAGTCACCTGGGATGATGTGTTAAGTGATTTTATTATGGGAAGATCAAGACGATTCTTAGTCTGTCCTACATTTATAAATTTGAATTCGATCTAGTTTCACTAGACGAGTGGACACTCCGTGGATGAGATACGGCTATTACTAATTTCATTTTACAATGCACTCTAAGCAATATTCTATAGAGATTCTATTGCAGACGGCTACTGTGTGTCGTTTGATTGCTAAGGCGAGAGAATGTCGAAATTTTGACTGGTGTTGAAGATTGAGGTTTCGAGTCAACGTACCGCAGTCATCATCAAGTCAAATGAAAAGTGAAAGTTAATTTTCAGTTGATGGTGTTGGTGCCATGGCCAATGGAACATACTGGTCTTTTTCTCCTTGATTTTATTGGTTCTCAAGCACTTGTCAATTTTGTTCAGAGCAAGTAGACAGTTAACTCAATCCGTCTAATATTACGTTTCTGTTTGTAACCACAAGTCCACCGTCGATTATGTCAAATTTTGAGTTCAAAGTCGTTTCTGAGTTGACAGAACTTGCTGGCATCTAGTAGTGATGTACTCCGTTAGTTGGTGCACGGGCTTTCAGGGCCGTCATTGAAAATTATATGTTGTAGTGTAAGTAGTACCGCGAGTAGATTAACGTACATTTTTTTTCAGTCTTTTATTTGATGTTGTTCAGCAACGTGACTGCTCACGTGACTGAAGATCAGTGACATCCGCTCAGTTTGCCAGTCCTTTAGCAGGACTAAATAGGTGGGTTCAACTCATTTATTGAAACTGTTTGATTCAATTCAAAATCCTCCCTCCTAACATGCACAATGTACTTTTCTAAAACAAAATTTAAATCATTTCCCTCCATTTGTTTGCAATAAGATGTTTCTCAATTAATTATGGCAGGAAATTTCCTTAAAAGGGCGGGAAATAAGCGAAACATGACAGTCATATTGATGACAGAACAGAAACAAAACAAGAAACAAAAACAAAATAAAAGTTAAAGCTGAAACGAGAACCAGAACTAACAACGACAACAACAACAACAACAACAACAACAACAATACAAAATCAAAATTAATCCGGCAGTTCCAGAAGTTAGATTCAGCATTAAGGACGAAAGTCGTGATATAATATTAGAATGTCTACGTGACATTTTCACATGGCCCATATATAATGATAATATGTTTTCAATTTTCTCATTTTTTCCATCACCTTCACAACTCTTTCCATCACCACTGAATCCAAGTGGGCAAGGACCACAGCTAATTGTGTCCTTGTTTTTGAAGCAGGTCACGTTGGGGTAGCAGGAGTCAATGGTACAGTTGGCGATTTTAATGTCACAGCGCGGACCAGTAAAACCCACGTGGCAGTTACACGTGTAGTTATTGACAAGGTCAATGCAAGTTCCTATGTGTAATGAAAAAAAAAAGAAAAAAAAAAAAAGGTCCACTTTATGGTTTATACTTTTTGTAAAGTAAGATGGATAGAAAGAGATACTGGTGTGGAAGGGATACCATTAACCCTACCAACCTTTGGGATAAAAAAATCCCCTTTCCCCTGCATCTACCCCTGTTCTCCGAGTTAGGAGTATGCAAGCGGGACAATATACATGAAATGCCATGCATTGAATTTTTTGCTGCTTATGCTCATGTCAGCGAACCCGTTCCCCGTCCAGTGTAAAGAAGATTGATTCATTACAAAATAAATAAATAAATAAATGATACTAATAATAATAACAACTATAATATTAATATTAATAATGATAATAATAATAATAATAATAATAATAGTAATAATAATAATAATAATAATAATAATAAAACAATTGAAACAATTTTAATGGCTTTTCTTGGAAAAGACATGAACATACCGTTCCCACAGGGTAAAGAAAGGCAGTCGTTGATGTTCTCTTCACATTTTACTCCAGTATAACCAGTTGGACAGACACAAGTGAAATTGTTGATTTTATCACGACACGTTCCTA